TTGCATAGATCCAACACGTCCATTGTCACTTAGAATGCTCTTTGAAGGTGCTTTGAAACAAAATAATAAAATTGCTGTTTTATGTGTAGCCTGGTTTCACATCTAATATGAGGTGCATTCTCAAATTGTTAGTTACAAAAAAAAAAAAAGAAAAAAACTCAAGTTAATACAATACTTGCATTTGGTACAATTTCTTTGATGTAGCTATATTTTGGGTGAGAGCCTTGATATTGAAACTCATATGTTTTGAATGTTGATTGCTGACAATGCTGTCTTCTTAAAGTGACTTGAGTTCTGCTGTTTGTAGTGAGCCTCGCTTCATGTTGATGGTGCAGGCAACAGTAGAGCTGCGTGCTCAATTAAGAGCAAACCGGAGCACTCAAGGATGGAGCTCATAGATATTGACATGGATGTGATTCCAAGGGAGACAACACCGCCACCAGATGATTGCCCAAGAAAAGAGAATGCCACGGTAATGTGCATATCTAAAGGGCAGCTTCAGGAATGTTTAGTTTTGCATACAGTTGTCGTTGTAGGTGAAATTTTTTTTGTGCTTGCTTAACTGTAAATGCTGCTTTTTCAGATGGTTGTTATGATTTTTTTTTTGCAATACATTCCTCTGATGCAGGTGGACATTGGCAGTGGCCTTCGAATAAATTCTTGTGCGTGGAGTCACATCCAGGGCCATCAAAAGGATTCTCTTTTTGTGAAAGACCTGCTTCTTGGAATTTGGCCAAAGGAGCAGCTGAAAAACCGCTCTTTGCAAGGTATGTTGCTGTTCTATAGATTTTTTTTTTTATAACGACAAAGCTCTTTAGGCTAGCCTTATTCTGTTCAAGGCAAAGAAATTCCTAGGTGGGTATGTGCCACAGGAATTGGCCAATCCCCAATGCAAGTTCAGCAGGTGCAAGTGTTAAATGAAAACTGCTTGACGGAGTGGAGCATGTCAAACATGGGAGAGGAAGAAAGAGAACTAAGAGGAGTAAAGGCATAAAATGATCGAAAGACTAGACTCGGAGAAAGAGATAGAAAAGCAGAGAGCAAGACAAAGAGAAACAGGAAGAGAGTGAGAGACATAGATAGAGGAAGTAATCAGTAGAGAGAGAAAGGAAGGGAAGAAAGAGCAAGAAAGAAACCGAGAAATTAAAAGGAGCAACAAGGAAGGCTGCCCCGCTCCGCTGTTTCTTCAGGCTTGGCACCACTAATGCGAAGCTGCCATAATTTTTTTTAGCGCTGTGAACTAGAAGTAGCAGTATTATAGTTAACCACTGTTCATTTGTGTCTTGCAGGAAAGCGGTGTCCACGATTTCCGGATCGGCCTGCAAAAACTCCACTGACGCCTTGGAAAGTGGAAGTGATGCGGGGTAAGTGTCCATGCTTTTTAAGATATTTTGGTGTAGACTGTCTTTGTTCATTCTGCCTCAGACCATATTCTTATAGACTCCATTTTTGTTTAAGAACTGTTTCTTCTTGCCAGTTAGTGATGCCCTGTGAACCTTTTGTTTTAGATTGTTACAGACGGCGACTGCAGCGCCAAGGTATTCCTGAAAACCTTGTGCCTGCTGCACTCAAGCAGCTAAACCATTTTGTGGTGGAGAAGCTGGCAGACCTTGAGAGGATGGCAAAACGGTGAGATGCAGTTGTAAATGTGTTTTGATGAATTTCAGGAAGGTTCTTGTATGTAGTTTTAAATGACATGCAGCCTTGTAAAAAAAAGTGTTCAAAGCATCATACTGATTAAATGCCATGCCAGTGCATTTACTCACACCTGTGAAGTATGTGTGAGATCATGTGGTAAAAACTAGTCTTGAGCTCCTAGCACATCAAGTTAGCACTTTACTCACATCTGAGCAGGCCCAAATTCTAGGCTGACCCCCTAAGGTTTGAAGCCAGAAAAAAGAAAAGAAAATGTTACCTCAAATGTAGACCCAGCAGGAAAACGTTTACAGTATGCAAAAAACTCAAAACACATACAGTAGAACCCAGATATATATATAGAGCCATAAAGGAGATTGCAAAATAGTTTGATATGGCAGCAAAGCAGACAACTCGTCCAGCTTTCTCCTGTGTGTGTTTGTGTGTACAATGATTCTCTGCTGAACAGTGCTGTTCTCTTGAAACCCGGCGCCTGCTACAATGTGTAGCCTGCTATGTATGGTCACAATATTACTGCACTGGGACCCCTTTCCGTGCTTGTTTACTATGTCAGTGTCTGTGCAGTAACATTTTCTTGTGCGTAAGCGTTCACTTCTGACAATAAGCGGGTGTTGCGTGCATCATTTTGGGCCAATGTGGCGGCTATGCTTTTTTGTGCAGTTAAGGCGGTTTTAGCTATTCCACCATGGCACCAACGCATTTGGGTTGTTGCATATTAGCAGTATGCAGTAAGTTTAAATGGCGCTGTGCCTTACATGCTGCTAAACAGGTAGTCGAAAATGCCTAGTGCAATAGGGCTGTCGGCAATCCGTTGCACTCTCATGTTTGTCAGTGGCTGCTATCACATTTGCAGCCATCGCCACATGTGCTTAAGTCTTAATCGATGGCCAGCCGGTGCGTCCAAATGAAAATGTGAAATATTTTGCACAGTACAGCATGCTACTGGCCACACCTAGAGTTGCGGGGTGCACCTTGAATCAACAAGCTTATGAGCCTTGATGGCATGATCAATCCATGGTTATTATGCTGGTGGAAACAATTACTGCTATCACTCAACTGTAACAATTTTTTAAGTACTCAAATATAAACCAACCCGACAGTATTTGAGTTTGAGAAAGACTATTGGCCTAGATTTGCGTAAATATGATACACACTCTGCCTACAGCAATAAGCAATGTCATTACCTATCCCTAATATTCTGACAGGTCCATTTCTAAGGATAGTTCTGCAGCAGGCTACCATTGAAAATGTTGCAAAGGGCCAGCTCTCATGCCTTGAAGTCGTAGTGTGGTTCAAGCACCACAATGTCGTTGCATCATGTGTATATGTAACATTAGCGATGTGAACTTGTAACTTTCATGCACTTGTGTATTTTTCAACACTTTCAGGGAGAAGGACAACCTTAAGCCACAGGAAAGCTGTGAATAAGGCCAGCAAATTCCAAGGTCAAGAGTAAGCCGTGCCTGCAAATTTGGTCTAGTCATTTTCCAGTCAACTTTTGCAATACTTGTACAAGTAATAAATTATTGTAAATCAAGTACCTTCATTTATGGTTTTTATTTTATGCATGTGCAATACACATCACTCACGACCAAGCATACCGGATCATTTTGGTCAGGATGAACATTTTTGCTTTAACAATTTGGTGTGCTCTTTGCCCATGTATTTCAGCCAAACACCAATTTGTAATGGAAGAATGTTAGGTTCAAGCTAGACCAAGCTAGAAGTTCACTTCAAATGGTTGACCAGTTGCACACCAGCCAGCTCTAACTGGATGACCATGTACATTCAACTGGCTGACCAATGGCGCACCAATCAGCTTCAATTGGATGACCTGTTGGCACCAGTTGGCTTGAACTGGATCACCACATGTTTTCAACTGGTTAACCATTTGGGCACCAGTCAGCTTCTATTGGATGACCTGTTGGGTGCCAGTTCACTCTAACTGGGGGACCATACGTTTTCAACTGGTTAACCAGTTGGACACCAATTCACGTGAGCTGGTTAACCGGTTGGCTTTAACTGGATCATTATGTGTTTGACTGGCTGACCAATGGCGCACCAATCAGCTTCAATTGGATGACCTGTTGGCACCAGTTGGCATGAACTGGATCACCACATGTTTTCAACTGGTTAACCATTTGAACACCAATTGTCATTGACTGGTTGACCAATTGCACTCCAGTATCTTTAATTGGATGACCATATGTGTTCAACTGGCTAAACAGTTGAGCACCAGTTGGCTTTAACTGGATCACCATACGTGTTCAACTGGTTAACCAATTGGGCGCCAATCAGCTTCTATTGGATAACCAGTTGGCTTTAACTGGATAACCATTTGGACGCCAATTTACATTGACTGGTTGAATAGGTGGACACCAGTTATCTAGAATTGGTTGACCAATTGGACACCAGTTAGCTTTAACTGGTTGCAGTGAAAAGAAAGCTGGGCACCAATTAAGATTCGGTTACGTCCAGTTAAATATAATTGGAAAACCAATTGGCCACCGGCACTGTCCAAATGGTTCACCAATTGGACGTAAACTGGTCTACCAATTGGATATAATTGGTACGCTCCCAACTGGTGGCGAAATTCCAATTGGTCGAGAACCAATTCGTAGCAATTGGTATTTGTCCAATTGGACCCATTGATTTTTTTTGACTGGGATCACATGTGAACGAGGAGTTAAGAAATCGCAGTAACAAAGCTAACACAAAACAACTCGTGCGGAGGTCCGCGCTGTCAACGTATAGAAATAGACACCTCAAGTGCCCCTTTCCTTCAGTGTCAAGATGCGGTAGGCAGAGAACATGTGCGATTCAGAACTTACCTAAATGCTTGCCCACATGTAAGTGTCACATCAAGGTTGAGCTGTTGAGTGGTGCACTTTATTACTCCTGACAACACCATGATAACGTTTATAATTTCTAGTGCACTAAAAGGTTCTCCGCGAAACTTTTTTCGCCCCCTCAATAATTACAATGAAAAAAAAATGTGCCAGAGTTGTCTTCACTGTTTGAAGTGGTGGATCAAGCACCAAGGCATGCACAGGCACCAACAGCACTTCGGAAAAGAGCGCGGGCAGATGTGCCGAGCGGCGCGTGAGGCGTTCGCAGTTGATGATGATGATGGCGATTATCGAACCGTGGTCAGAAGTTGAAATAAAAGCGATAACAGTTCGAAACACCCAAAAAGTACCAACAATTACGATACTCACTTGTGTGAAATTTGCGAGCAGCTCTACGTTTGCCTTTACTTCGCGATATTGAGGCGGGGCGCAGCGGCCCCAACGCAGAACCATAGAGTGTGGCAGAACATCTTTCTTCAGTCGCGTGGCACTCACCCACTTCTCATGATCTGGTGTGTCCGCTTCTTCTGACAAAGGTCGAAACTTGACCACTTAGTTCAAACGCTAGCCGTGCTTCCTACTAGGGTCCCACCAGAAATCCTCCTTTCCTCTACGTACGTTGCCTCAAGCGCTTCGCATACTGAACTCTATGCAACCGCTCTCTGCCTTTCCTCCTTCTCAACACTCAAGAACGGGCGTTCGAGAACTGCGCTTGAACACCCTCCCGACGACGTGCAGCCACAGAACACCTACCAGCTTAGCGCTCAGTTTTTATTCTCAGTATCCTGATCAGTCATCTTGATCTGCTATTGGGCGCTTCAGAAGGCCCAGCCTCTGAACCTCTGAATCGGCAGGTATAAGTTCGATGAACAATGCATACTTTCGGCCCAATCTATAAAAGGTGGTTGCGATATCTCAAAACCACCACTGTATGCATCGGGAGCGGTTTTGGATGCGATGCCTCGGGACACAGTTACTAGTGCCAAGTTTCGTGCAACCGTGCATATGAATACTGGTGGCGCTCTTGCGTGACGCACCCTTGACTGCCACCACTGCAGATACGGAACTATACTGCGCTGAACTAAATTCACTTCAAAGTGCTACTTTATTGCTAGAGCAAAAGCATCAGAAGTAATCACATCTGTTCCCGTACAACTGCACGCATGGCGACGGTGGCTCCAGCCAGCATGAAAATTATAGGTAATAGTAGCCTGCAAACGCTTTACAAGGCTTTCTGAAAACGTACAGCAGTTTCACTTCACCATTTAGATATTTTCACAGCGACCTATTCTTCTGTCCGAAACAAATGCTAAAACAAAGTCACAAGTACTGAAGCGGCAAGCGTTATGATTAGGCAAATGTATGTACTACCCACCATTGGCTATGTTGACTGAACAACCGCAGTAGAATAGTTCCTTCAAGTAAAATATTGTAAAAGACTTGTGGGTCGATCACAAGAAGTTGCCAGTGCTGTCAAGGTGCTGTTGCTTGCGAATAATACATGACTACGTAACATTAACGCTCTCCGAGGCACCGTCAAAATTGACGGGGGGTGGGATATGGACAGGAGTTAATCCGCCCCCCAGCCACCGAAGGAAATTTCTGCGACTTTTGATGAACCCTATACCAGTCTTCCATATTGCACTTGATAACACATACTTTGTGTAGATAAACTAGCTGTGATGAACTTGAGAGAGAATATGACGTTTCCAGACACCTTTCTGGCTTTAAACAATTCTGTAATAACATTTATCTTAACTGCTTTTTGTCTCAAATGCTGTCCTGTGCAAACCTTTTTATTTTCAGAAGATCTGTGAAGTATTCCCCTTCGTAGTTGAGAGGTATACATTGGCCGTATTCTCGCCATTTCACTGTGGCAGGTGGCCGCACCATGAGTTAAGCAGTTGCCTTGCAACCGCCGCACCTGGTAGCCCCTTCCTTCCTCCATGTGGTAGCAGTGTGGTAGCCCTATTCGTTGCGTCATCTGGCATGATGTCAGAGGAGCGGATGAGCGCAACCGTACCGCATTGCAAAAACAGAGGAGGAGCCGGCGTTGCAGCGGCTTGACGGGCTTAATCGGCAGATATGGAGAGTTGGTGAGACTGAAAAAAAAACTCGCTTCGTTCTTGGAACGAAACCAGGAGGAGCCAGCGAGCTGAGGGCACGGAGGAAAAATGAGCCGCACGTCTTGAGAATAGTAACCAACCAAACTAAACAATCAGATTAACCCTATACTTCTCGCTACACACACCCCAGTATAATTGAGTTGAGCCACAGCCAAATTTTTTTTTCCTTTCGAGATGTACTCGGTGATTGGAGCGGTCAACCGAACCGAAAGCTCTGCTATAGTTGGTAGAGCAAGTTATTGAAGCTAAGAAAATTCTGAGTGAGTATTGTGAAGACAGGACAAATCTTAAGAGCAAAGGTTACAAGGATAAGATGAGCTAGGTCATACAGACCAGTTAGTTGTGGCACAAGGAAAGCAAGAAAAAAAGTTTTACGAATGAAGAAAAATGGAACCATTTGATCGAACTTCAGAGATTTTGATAACTCAGGCTAGACTAATGGATAGCATATCAAGACAGGGCATGAAAAAACATTTAGAAAATTGCTATTACATATATATTCTCAAGCATAACAGCGTAAATTACAACTTCGTGGAGCTTCTGGAGATATGCAGGCAAATTCATGCAAATACAAGTCCAAAAAACGTGGGAAATGCAAAACTAGTGTAAATTCACCAACTGAAGCAAGAATGTCCCCCTTCCCTACACATTTTTGGTTTTCCTCACACCTCGTTTTAAAGGCATAAAAAGACGTCTGGAAAATGGCAAATCGAGCAGATTTAGATTTATCTCGCATCAAGTCACGGGGTACAACAGGGGGTCTCTGCGCTGCCGTATATCTGTATGGCATTGTGCTGCTAGCACACAATCCAAGGAATTTAAAATACTTGCACATACATGTCACAATAAAGTGATGGATCAGGGACTTAATTTTAGCTGAGAAATATGGAATTACGAACTGTAATGAAGAGAAAAATAATGGCACATTAGTAGCATGACATGGAATAGAAAGGGCAGTGCCTTCCTTTACGAGGCATGAATTGGCTGCGAGAGAACAAATTATGTTCAAGAGACAGCAGGGAAATTAACCATATGAGAGTTTCCAGTTGGCCGTTCCGTACTAGGGTCGGAAAGAGAACAGAAGAGGACTGCAATAGTGTACTTGGTCTGCTTGGACAATATTTGCCGAAGAAACGGGACAAAGAGAGGAAGAGACCACGGTGCTTAGGTTGGTCTCTTCCTTTTATCTAGTTTATTTTCACCGTTTCTTCTGTAGAAAAAGAGAAGACTTAAAAAAAAAAGGGAAAAAGAAATGTGGAGGGCATCAACATACTCGCAGTACATGAGGCATGAATCTAACATGGCAAAAGTTGAGAAATGATTCTGCACTAATCAAATTATAATACATTCACCCAGAAAAGATCACCTTTCAGAAGCATGTTCAAAATAGATGGAAGCACTAAAAAAATTAGGAAAGAGATGGAAATTTTTAACGCAAGTTAGATTGATATGTGGGGTTTAACGTCCCAAAACCACCACACGATTATGAGAGACGCCGTAGTGGAGGGCACCGGAAATTTTGACCACCTGGGGTTCTTTAACGTGCACCCAAATCTGAGCACACGGGCCTACAACATTTCCGCCTCTATCGGAAATGCAGCCGCTGCAGCTGGCAATCGATCCCGCGACCTGCGGGTCAGCAGCCGAGTACCTTGATGATGATGAGTGGTTTTTAATGGCGCAAGGGCCGATTGATGGCCAAAGAGTGCCATTTCAATAGACTAGAGATATGAACAATGATATGATGCATGGCTGTAAAGGGGCCCTAAAATTCCTCGCGCTAACGCGGGTTAAAACATGGAAGTAATAAAATCATGACAGTGGCGTGAGATATGTGCAGTGAAAGTGGATGGCAAAATGTCATCATAATAAAACCATGATGGAGATGTAGTCACCGCAGCCACGACCACGGTACAGAGGTCGTGCTACAGATGACCTCGAAATATGGGGTGAAAGCTATGAACATCTTTTAAAAACGTTAAAAGTGATTGCAGTTTAAAAAGCGGATCCCTACCGATGAGCATCCCAGGGTGTAGTGGGAGGTGCTGTCGGTAGGGCAGTAAAAAGTGCTTTTTTCTTACAGCATCTAGTTCATTGCACTGAACGAGGATGTGGAGAACCGTATCTCCACATCTGTAACATTATGGTGGATTGCCGGTAGATAAGAGATATAAGTGTGTGGAGTGTGTGTGTCCTGTTCTAAGCCTTGTTAGTGTTACTTCTGTGTGTCGTGATTTTGATAGTGGCGGCCAATTACCTAGTTGCGGCTTAATAGCATGGAGTTTATTGTCTGTGTGTCTATCCCACGTGCTCTGCCAATACCCCCCCGAGTTTTCGTTTTAGAAACGGTTTCAAGTCAAGTGCAGGGATTGGTATTATTGCATTGGAAGTAGTATCGTTGGCGGAAGCAGCCAGCTTGTCGGCCAAAGCGTTCCCTTGTATCTCACGGTGCCCTGGCACTCAGCAGACGACGTGCTGTTTCGATGTGTACAGTGTGCACAGAAGTGAGTAAAGTGACACCAGCATGGGGTTCTTGTGTTTTTCAGGAGTTTTCAGGGCTTTGACCACACTTAGGGAATCTGTTTATAGTACCGCCTTTTGTAATTTTATCTGTTTGATGTGTTTTATGACCGCCAGTATTGCGTAAGCTTCTCCTGTGAAAATGCTTTCATTAGGATGAAGAACGCCGACCTCAGAAAAGGATTGGCCTACTGCTGCATATGACACAGAAGTGTTGGACTTTGTAGCATCGGTAAAGAACTCAGGGCATGTGTATTTATGTTGTAGTTCTAGGAAGTATGTATGTATGTGTGCAAGTGGTGCATGCTTTGTCACTTCAACAAAAGAGACATCACATTCTATAAGCTGCCGCTGCCACGGTGGCAGATATGCTGCGGAGCCATCAAACTGTGTTCAAGAAGATGCACACCTGTTTCTTCGGCCAGGCCCCTTACACGGAGCGAGTAGGGCTGCCGCAACGAAGGACGGTTCTCGAACAAGCCTGAACAAGACAAATCATTACTTGTGAATAAGAGGGGTGTTTCTTGTCTGTCTTCACCTTCAGAAAGTACAAAAAAGACAGGTAACATCTTTGTAGGTGGAGCGACCATTCATTCGAATCCATGTACAGGCTCTCTACAGGGCTAGTACGAAAAGCACCCGTAGAGAGGCGAATGCCTAGATGGTGGACAGGGTCGAGAATTTTCAAGGCTGATGGTGTTGCCGACTGATAGATTATAGCACCGTAATCTAGGCGTGTGCATACGAGGCTTTTATATAAATTTATTAGACATTTCGTGTCACTACCCTATGTAGTGTGTGACAACGCTTTCAAAATATTCATTGTTTTTAAGCACCTGTCTCTTAAATACTTGATGTGTGGGATGAAAGTTAGTTTTGTGTCTAATGCTAGCCCAAGAAACTTGTACTCGGTCCACACTGGCAGAGGTTGACCATGCAGGTCAATGTTAGGGGTCAGGATAGAGGCCCCTCTTTCAGCTGAACAAGACACAAGTTCTCCTTTGCGCATTGAGTATAAAACCATTCTCGTTTGCCCATTGAGATACCTTGTTCAACCCAAGTTGAACTTGACGTTGGCACATTGAGATGTTGCACGATTTGTAACCAATCAATCTGTACATCATCGACATATATGCAGTAAAACATATTACGTGGGAGAGACAGGTGCAAGGAATTCATTTTAACTATGAAAAGTGTGCAGCTCAATACACCTCCTTGTGGCACTCCTGTTTCTTGGACAAATACTCGAGATAAGACAGTGCCAACTTGAACACAGAATGTATGGTTGGACAGATAGCTTTCAATAATTGTCAGCATTCTACACTACACACCTAACTGTGACAGGTCTCGCAATATTCCAAAGTGCCATGTAGTGTCATATGTCTTTTCCATATTGAGGAACACAGAAAGAAAAAATTGCTTATGAACAAAAGCGTCGCGAATTCGTGCATCAATACGGACAAGGTGGTCAGTGGTGGACCGAGCCTCTCGAAACCCACACTGGTATGGATCAAGTAGGCCATTAATTTCAAGGAAGTGCATCAGGTGCTTGTTAATCATTTTCTCAAAGACCTTGCAAAGACAGCTGGTTAACGCTATTGGCCTGTAGCTGGAAACTGAGGCCGGGTCCTTGCCTTGTTTTAGAATTGGGATAATGATAGCTTCCTTCCAGGCCGAGGGTAGCTC